TTTATGTGAGATAATTTTCACTGTTGTTCCTCTCTCTTCCCCTTTTCCCCAGTGCATCCCTCTTTCCCATCCCTTAGTCTGGAGGATTAATTTTAGATCATTCCATCAAATTCAGTTCACACCTGTGCCCTCTGTCTATACATATTCCTTCTAACTGCCCTAATAATGATAAAGTTCTCACGAGTTACAAGTATCATCTTCCCATGTAGGAATGTAAACAGTTTAACCTAATTGAATACCTGATGATTTCTCTTTCATGTTTACCTTTTGTGCCTCTTGTATTGGAAAGTCAAGTTTTCTGGTCTTTTCATGAGCAATGTTTGGAAGTCCTCTCTTTCATTAAATATCCATTTTTTTCCAATGAAGTATTATGCTCAGTTTCACTGGGTAGGTTATTCTTGGTTACAATCCTAGCTCCTTTGCCTTCTAGAATATCATATTCCAAGCTTTCCACTCCTTTAATGTGCAAACTGCAAAATCTTATGTGATCTTGACTGTGGCTCCATGATATTTTAATTGTTTCTTTCTGGCTGCTTACATTTTGGTATCTCTTTCAGGAGACGATTGGTGGACTCCTTCAATTTCTATTTTACCCTCTAGTTCTAGGATATCAGGGCAGTTTTCCACAATACTTTATTGAAAGATCTCTATTTTTGATCATGGCTTTCAGGCAGTCCAATAGTTCCCATAATTATCTCACACTGATATGTTTTCCAGGTCAGTTATTTTTCCAATAAAATATTTCACATTTTCTTCTATTTTTTTTTCATTTTAACTGTTTTATTACTTCTTGCTGTCTCATGGAGTCATTAGCTTCCACATGCTCAATTCTAATTAAGGAATTATTTTCTTTAGTGAACTTCTGTATTTCTTTTTTCACTTAGCCAATTCTGCTTTTTAAGGAGTTCTTCTCTTCAATGGATTTTTGTGCCTCTTTTTCTTGCATCACTCTCATTTCTTTTCCAAGTTTTTCCTGCACCTCTTTTATTTCTTTTTTAAAATCCTTTTTGAGCTCTTCCAGGAATTCTTGTTGAGTTTTGTGTCCAATCCACATTTTTTTCAAGGCTTTGCTTGTAGCTCTTTTGCCATCATTGGCTTCTGAGTTTGTGCCTTGATCTTCCCTGTCCTCACAGTCACTTTTTATGATCAGGTTCTTTTTCCTCGTGTGCTCATTTTCCTAGCCTATTTCTTGACTTTAAACTTTACGTTAAAATTGGGCTGTATTCCTAGGGTGAAGGCGGCACTGTGTCAAGCTTCTGGTTTTTCGTGCTGCTATTTTCAGAGCTAGATCCAGGGGTCTGTAAGTTTTTGGCTCTTCAAGGGGGCACGATATAAAGAAAGTTGTGGTCACTGCTCTTGTCTTTACTCAGGAAGAGACTCTGTTGCCCTGTAGAACAAATCCTGGCATTCCTACAACTGTGACCAGTTTCCCTGCTCTCCTATAGCAGATTCTTTCTGTCTAGGAACTGAGACCAGGACCTCTGCTCCCTTGTGAGTGACTGCAAGCACTCTTCTCCACCCAGGAACTATGAACAAGGTCCCTCCTCCCCTGCAGCCTCAAGCACTAGTACTCTTATTTGCCCTTGGACTGGGATCCAGAACTGAGTATGTACAAGGCAACAGGATCCTGGACCTAGCACCAGCAAAGAGGCCCCTACAATCTCTTTCTGACTGGTTGTCTGCACCGCCCCCACCTTACCTTCAGTGGGATGAGAGCTCCCAAAGCTGCTGCTGATGCAGCCACTTCCAAGACCCGCTGCTGGTGTTGCTGGGACATAGCCCGCACTGCACTCTGAGGCCAGCGACCACTCTGACGTGACAGACCTTTCCTGGCGACCCCCTACATCATCTTGGGTTGAAAAATTATCTCACCCTGGCCTTTTTTGGGGTTCTGTTGATCAAGAATTCAACGTGAGGTATTATTTTAAAGTTGTTTGGAAGGGAATTTGGAAGAGTTCAGGTGAGTTTCTGCCTCCATTCTGCCATTTTTGCCTGTTTATTGTTTTTGTTTGTTTGTTTGTTTGTTTTTTTAGGCAACTGGGGTTAAGTGACCTGCTCAGGGTCACACAGTGTTTATTGTTTTTCTATAGGAGCCTCTACCTACTGTGGAATATCTAGCTCAAAAACCTAACTTCATAACAGCATTCAATTAATCCATCCATAAGCATTTATTAAGCACAGGCACTTCAAAGAGGGAAGTGGGGAGCCAGGGACAGTGAAGAGAGGAGTAGGGGTTCCTTTCCAGTACCAATGACCCTATAGGTTTGATTAGTATTCCCAGAGCAAAGGCAAGAGGTGGAAAGAAAGAGAGGGGAGAGATGAAGATGGCCAGGCTCAGGTTACCTGGCAGATAGTACAGCAGATAATATAAAGCAGAGTCTGGGGTCAGGGAGGTGTAGAGGTCCTAGGGAAAACTGATTTGCCCTTCAGTCCAAGTAGCTCTGCCCTAGGCTGCTGTGGTGACATGTCACCTGAAAAAGATCACAAGGTTCTAGTGAACTCCACACTCAAGTGAATTGGAACTCAGGTCTTCCTAACTCCAGGCCCAGTACTCTATCCACTATGCCCTCTAGATGCCTAGAAGACTTGTAACACCAGCAAGATACTGGACAGAAGCCAAGCCAATTTGTTCTCTTCACCCTCCAAGGAGCCCACCTGGGGAAATCTTCTTGTCCAGACCTGAATTTAGGAAATTTTGGAGTTAGCTACAAGGTGGGGCTGCCCTAGAATTCTCCCTTTTTGGCTAGAGGGCCAGAAGTCAAGACAGTGCCACCTGAGGGAAGTCAAAATCCACCCCCTGCTCCACAGGAGACAGGGGTTCAGGAACCGTGCCTTGGTCTACCCTCTCAGGCCATGTGAGCATGTCTCCCCCTGCCATGTGCTTCTGCTCAGTAGGAGAGAGAAATTCCCCTCCCCAATCCCTGAATACATTTTAGAGAAAAAAGATGAGAAATGAGTCAAGAAACTCCTTCTTTTCTTTCTTCTCCTCCTTTTCCCTTCCCCTATTTTATTCTTCTCTCTCTCCTTCCCTTCTCCCTCCTCCTTCTCTCCCTTCCCTCCCTCCCTCCCTTCTCTTTTTTCTTCTCTCCCCTTTTCTTACTTTGATTATACTCTTTCCTAAAAGGAAGCTGGATGGCTTCTATGGCTATTACAAAAGCCCAGAGCGAGACATTCAGCACACCCCCTACAGTTGAGGGCTGGCCACGGCACAGAAGGCCCAGGGCTTTGGGGGTGGCTCTGGCTCCTCACGGGCTGCTTGTGATTCTTGTGCTCACTGTGCCCAGAGCAGGGCTACCTGGCTGCTCTGGCTTCCCTCGCTCCCCGCTGCCTGACCAGGAGCTGAGCTCAGCTGTCGGGCCCAGCGGTGGGACTTGCCTGCTGGCTGAAGCACCTGTGGTGCTGTGCCTCTGGCCCCCTATCACTTTCCTGGGCCAGGAAAGACAAGGTGCTCCCTGTTCTCTCAGCCCAGCTGGCAGGCCTCCAGCTCCTCCTCCCTATTTGCTCCTTTGCTCAGCAGATGGGCCATGCTGGTGGCCAGGGAACGGGCCTGGGGCAGATATCAGCTTTCCCTCCACTTCCAGTCAGCCAGGTGATACATGGTACATGGCTGCTTGGCTGAGGCTGCAAACACACGCAGGCAGCCATAATGCCAGGGCTCCAGGTGCGTAGGTACTGAAGGCTAGAGGGCCTCCGTGCCATTGTGGTCCCAAATTTCTCCAGAAGTCTGAATCTGGACTTGTCCCTGCCCCATTTCCCAACCACAAGGCTCTGGAGTTCCTGGCACAGCAGGCCTCGGCCCAGTTCTCACAAAGAACACTTACACCAGGAAGCTGTCAAGATAGCCACAGCCAACAACACATAGGAGGTGTGGTCAAGGACCCCAGGACTCGGAAGCCCAAATCCCTGGGGAATGGCAGGCAGGGCTGCCCTAGACAGAAGAGGCCAAAGGACCCAAGGAAGCTCTCGGTGCCATGGGCCTATGCACCTACCACCAGCACCCAGGCTGGGCTGATCACAAATGTGTGTGGCCCACACTTGCCAATCCAAACCAGCAGAGGACACAATGATGTCTACCCAGGTCATCTGGCTCCTGAACTGTGCATGGGAGCAAGAGGCTTAGAGAGGCCCTCCCAGATCCATATGGACACAAGGACTAGCAGTGAGGTAGAGGAACAGCAGTGAGGACAGGTCCCCTCTCTGCTTCCAGAGCCCAAGAAATGGCATCGGGCACAGCTGACCAGCCAGCAGCCACAGCCCAGGATGAGCCAGGGCCAGACATAGAACCCTCTTCCCTCCCACCTCCACAGGCTGGCAGGGGAAACACTTCCATGCTCTTGTCCCTAATTCTCTTGAACTAGCCCTCTCTCTGCTGAGCTTAAAGTCCACTTAAAGTAGACAGCTACCAGGAGCCAGGAACCCAGTCCAAGGCTGCTCTCCCCAGGAAAGAGCAAATGGTGTTCCTTGTCTCCTGTCGTCTGCCCTGCTCCATGGCCAGACAGTTGGATAAGGCTCTGGAAGGAGCCATGGCAGAAGCCTGGGTGAGCTGAGCTGAGTCAGCTGCCCGCACTCAGATTGGCCTCTGCCCCCTGCCCTCGAGTGGTTGCTTTCAGAGACTGTTTTCAGGGACAGAGCAGCCAGTCCTTCCAGACCTCATGTGAACAAGGCTTGACCAGACAGTCACATCAGCCACAACTCGGGTAGTTTCTCCACATGCCCATGCACACTTCACTTCCTGGGCTGCCCATCTGGGTTCCAACCTCCTCACCACAGTATTCACATCCTGCCAAGCCTGGGAAGGGGGAATGCCAACAAAAGCTTCAGGCCACACAGGTGGAAGGCCCTGCGGGCAGGCTCATCTTACCCAAATCATGGCCTAAAATCCTGGCCAAGAGGTCACCAGGGGTTGTCTTATGGAGGTAGAGAAGAACGCCTTGTTGCTGGCTTTGAGCCTCAGGCCTAGGGAGCAAGTCTGACGGGGAGAGCAGACAGAGTGCACTTACTTGGGGAAGATGGCGGTCATCAGGGCGGATGCGTAGCCAGGCTTGCAAGCCCCATCTGACAAGTTGGCATACTTGGTCGCTAACTCTGCAGGCCTGCGAGGGAAAAGGAGTCAGGAATTAGCAGGCCCAGTACCCTCACTGGAGCTAGAATCTGTGCTAGAGACTGTCCGAGACCTCCTATAGCATGGCTCCACTCCTGCTCCCTCTCTAGCTACCTCACTGCCTCTGGTCCTTCAAAAAGACCTTTGACCTTCGAAAAGTCTGTCCTGAACTGTCCCCAGCCCCCACCTCCTGAAAGCCTCTAGTGAAGGCATACCATGCCAGTGGATCAACCATTTGACCCCATCCCTAACAAGCAGCCACCTGGCCAGTGACTGGAAGCTCACCACTTTTCTGGTAGTTAGGAATACTGGCTAGAGCACTTTGCCTGGGGTCAGGAAGACCCGAGTTCAAATCTGACCTCAGACTACTTTCTAAAGGGGAAAACAAAGGCCCAGGGAGATGAAGGGAACTGCCCCCAGGATCATGTAGGGAGTGAAAGAAACAAGATTTGAGTTCCTAGCAGCACTCTCTCCATTGCAGTGAGTATAGGCGGCTATGGAACAAGGTGCAGTTTATAGGGAAATGGGAAAGATTAAGCAGCCAGCCCCAAGGGCCTACTGTTCAGAATAGGGACCATATTTCAGGGGCCATGAGTCTTCCCCAAAGGTCAGATGCTGAGATGCTTAACCAAGGATGTCTGATGTCCCTATAGATCTGAGTCAATGGCAGTGGTAACACCTCCTTCCCCAGACCGGGGGCCAGGAGCCCTGCCAGTAGAAAAGTGGCTCATGTCAGACCAAAGGCCTTTCGTGGGCAGGATCCCTGCGTGCCTTCTCCAGATGTAATGACAGGGCAGCAGCCTCTCTGCCTCAGTCCACAAGGAAGTATTTGTGGAAACTCCCACAATTTGGCACTGGTTTCTTCAGTGGGACCCATGAGGATATTGACATCATGTGGACAGACACAGGGCCTCTGGGAGTCCTCCTGAGGGCCAGAGCCCAGCAAGCCACAATGGCCTTAGATACCCACACACCCCACTATGGCTCTCCACAGTGGAACCCATGAGGATATTGACAGCACGTGGACAGACACAGCTGGGGCCTCTGGGAGTACTCCTCAGGGCTAGGGCTGGGGAGGTCAGAGAAGCTGCCATAGGAAAGGGGAATGAAAAAGAAGAAAGCACTTATCAATGCCTGCTATGTGCCAGGCACTGTGCTAAGAATTTCACAATTATCTCATTTGATCCTCACAACTCTGAGAAATAGGTGTCAGCATTATTCCCACTTTACAGTTGAGGAAACTGAGGCAGGCAGCAATTAGGTGACTTGCCAGGCTCACAGAGCTAGGAAGTGTCTGAGGTTGGAGCTGAACTTAGGTCTTCCTGACTCCAGGCCTAGCCCTCTATATACTGCACCAGAGAAGATGGATGGGTCCGTCATATCTACCCACTTTGAAGCTTTCTTTGTTGCCCATCTAACTCTGTCCCTGCATCTGAGGGAAGACATGTGGACGACAGAGGTCTGTCTTGATGGGGCCCTTCTCTCCTACAGATCTGGGCACACACTTGCCAGGCTGGACACGCAGTCAGAGCCAGAGGCCTGGGGCCAGCCAACTTTAGCTCCTCCCAAAGGTGGTGGAAGGGATGAGGCAGGCCCAACTCCCTCCTCTCCTCATCCTGGCATCCTCGGTGCCCTAACCCAGGCAGCAGGGTCCAGAAGGCCTCCCCTACAAAGAAGTGCCCCCTCTGGCCCCAGAATGCACAACAAACAGGCAACGTCAAGGCCATTCCCCAATTAAAATGCCACTGCCATGAGCCGCTGCCTGTCTAGGAGAAGAATAGCAGGAGTGTTGGGATGGCTGAGTCACCCCCCACAGCAGCCCCTGCACGGGAGTGGGACCCCCAGGCCATCTGCAGCCCAAACCACAAGAGTCTCTGAACAGGGAGCGTTTCACTGCCAGGCCTAATTCCAAAATGCCACAGGCTCGTGAGGATGTCGAAGGCCACCCCAGATGTTTGGCTGAGCTTTGGGCTCTTGTCCTTGAGAAGCCATCCACCGGACTCCGCATCATAGGCCCATTGTCCCCTTAGGCCCCAGGGGAAAAGCGCCAGCTCTGTGGCTACGTGAACAACGCAGATTCGCTGCACAAACATTAATCTGGCACCTGATCCTGGGCTCAGCACTGAGGGTACAAAGACAAAAAAGAAACAGCCCCAAGCTCATGACAGTTCAATTCTATCAATATTTATATATTAGGTGCCTACTGTGTGCCAGGCTTTGTGCCAAGAGTTGGGGATACATATAAGAAAAAGAAAGCCAGTCCCTGCCCTCAAGAAGCTTCCAGTCTAATAGGGAAGCCGGCACACAAAAGGAAGCCGGAGAGGGGCCACGCCACCTGGGGCGCCTTCGTGTGACAGGGACTGCGCCGCTCTGGTGGCCCTCCTCATGGCCTCTCTTGCTGAGCAATGGTCACGCTCAGAGGAGGTTAACGCCTGGAAGGGCCTTGGCAAACCTGGCAGCACTTCTCATTATTGTTATTAGTACACTCTTACGCACATAGTTACTTGCATGTACTCTCCCCAATTAGAATGAGAGCTCCTTGAGGGCAGGGACCGCATTTTTGCCTTTCTATCACCAGGGCTTAGTATGGTACTTGGCATCCAGCAGGTGCTTAATAAATGCCTTCTGACTGACTGACCCAGCAGTCCACATGAGGTCTGATATGGGCAGATGACAGGGGGACTTTCCTGGATGCTGCGCCCCTCTCAGTGCAGCCCAAGATCCCATTAGATTTGGGTGGGCCCTACCACTTCCCCCTGCTGCCTCATACTGAGCTTGTGGTCCACTCAAACCTCCAGATCTTTAACTAGCCATTCATATTCTACATGTCACTTTGTATTTGGTTAAGCTTCAGTGTTTCCCCAGTGGGTTACAGGCTACTTGTAAATACTGTGGAGATGTGTCTCTAAGCCCTGGGATCCAGGAGCTAATTAGCACAAAGGAAGACACAAGAGAAGATGTGAAGGAAATACGTTGCCAGTCTCCAAATGTCCAAATGGCAGTCAGATGGAGAAGGGTTAGATGTTTTCTTCTCGGCCTTGGGGAGTAGCCATGGGACTGACAGGGAGATGTTGCATGGTGTCAGATCTTGACTCCACACAAGAAAATATTTTTTACAAGTAGAGATATTCAACAATGAAATGTACTTGGGTTATAGCGAGCTTTACATCGCTGAAGGTATTTAAAAGGTACTTAAATGAATATTTGAAATTTTACTACTTAATATTTAATATTATATATTAATTAAATAATAATTGATTAAAATATTATTAACTATCTTAGAAGGTATTTAATTAAAAGGTATTTAAAAAGGCTCTGGCTGACCACTCAGATGCATCTGGTCATCACAATTTGGGCAGACATTGGGCTAGCCAAGCTCTGAGGCCCCTTCCAACTCTGCAGGCCCAAGGCTCTGTGACTGTGTGGTTGTCTCACTTGTGTGACTGCAGCCCCCATAGGAGCTTCATTCCCACACAGACTTCGGAGCTTCTTCCTGGATCTTTAGGGGGAAACAGAATTATGGGAGTGAGGGTGCAGACTGTCATGGTGCAGGAGGGTCTAAGGAAAGAGAGAAAGGACTAAGGAAACTTCTCCCCTCAGAGGCCAGTTAGCTCCTATCCTAGGGAAGAGACATCTTGAAGAGAATTCTTGAGATCTTTGACTGAAATCCTCAGAGATGAATGGTGGGAGTCCACTCCAGAGTTAAGAAGTCGGCAGTTACAGTTAATATTTAGAAGGGCCTCTGACTACAATCTTTCTCACTGTGATACATTGTTGAGGTATTTAAGTATGACAGAGTAAACATTTAAATACTCAACTGATTAATAACTTTCATTGTTTGTTATACTGCTAATAAATTGTATATCCAGCCAACACTGATATTTGTTTCAGCTTATGAGATTAAGCTATATGAGATGAGGACATGGGGGAAAGGGTTTCTCCAGTTTGTTTAATAAACTACAACGAGGGCTCAGTGCTAACTGAGTAACTGAGATTGTGCATTCCTATGACTTTATGAAAAACTATTAGAACATGCCCTTTGATTGGCTTGGAATCTGAAATGACAATTAATAAGGCCAAGGAGGCCAGTAACAGGATGAGGGGAGGGGAGGGGCTCAGGCTGGCACTGGTGTGTTGCTCCACACCCACCTGAGCCCTGTCCTGTAAGCCTGACGGGATGCCTTCCTTGTAAGCTCCTTCAGACAGTGGAGGGAGAAGATCCTGGGAGTCAGCTGCTTCCGATCTCTCTCATTAAGTAATGCACCAAAGAGAAGAAAAGCTACAAATGCCTCATGGCATTGGGAAACTAAAATCAACATCAAATTAAATGAGCCAAGACGTGCCAAGGGCTGACCCAAGTTGTAGAATCCCCCAGAACAAGTGACAAAGTGACCAGAGCAGAACCAAAGGCCCAAGAGAGAAATGAATGACCGTGCTGAAGGAAAGGGGGCGAGGACAACTGGCCAAGAAATCCCAAGACCAAACAGGCAGAGCTTGGAGGGAGTAAAATATCAAAGGTGAGAAGAAGGGAGACAGGACAGGAGCGCTCACAGAGATGGCCAAGACGGAGAAAGGGGTGAGACACTCAGCCCCCAACAGACTTACCACAGCAGCAAACAGACTGCCCTGATGTGAGGGCAGGGGAAGAGAGGATCAGGAAATCCCTGAATTCTCCCAAGAAGAATATAAAGGATCGAGTTCTGGGCTTGCAGTCAGGAAAGGAGTGGGTTCAAATCCTCGCTCCAACCCTGGACAAATCATTTAACCACTCTGAGCCTCAATTCCCATATCTATCAAAGAGGTCTGGTAGCCCTTTCACTGCTTCTACTTCATATAGTCAGGAGGACAAAGAGGAGGAGGAGGAAGAAGAGGCCAGTGCTTTGCAAATACTGTTCACTGAGAGAAACCAAACTTTGATTAAGAGAAGGCCTGGCAAACAGATGAAGAGCACTCCTCTACTCTGTGGAGAGGTGGGGGACAATGGGTGCAGAA